GTGCCAGCGATTCCCATGTCTCAGCCTCCTGAGTAGCTAGGATTACAGGTGCATGCCACCTTGGCCAGCTAATTTTTGTATTTTTAGTAGAGATAGGGTTTCACCATGTTGACCAGGCTGATCTTGAACTCCTGGCCTCAAGTGATACACCTGAGTCAGCCTCCCAAAGTGCTAGGATTATAGACGTGAGCCACCATGCCCAGCCTCCTTGGTTGCTTTTAAACAGCAAATCATTTTTTTTTTTTTTTCTGTTTTGTGTGCCTTTTCCAAATTTGTTGATTTTTTTTTCTTTTTTTTTTTCCCCCTTGAAACAGGGTGTCACTTTGTTACCCAGGCTGGAGTGCAATGGTGCCATCACGGCTCACTGCAGTCTATACCTCTTGGGCTCGGTTGAGCTTCCTGCCTCAGACTCCTAAGTAGCTGGGACTATAGGGGTGTGCCACTATAGTGATTTTTTATATTTTTTTTGTAGAGACAAGGTCTTACTATGTTGCCCAGGGTGGTCTCAAACTCCTAGGCTCAAGCAATCCTCCCACCTTGGTTTCCCAAAGGGCTGGGATTATAGTTGTGAACCACTGAGGCTGGCCTTGGATCACTTCATGAGCATTTTCAGTATGCCCATCTCTGCTCTGGCTGGAAGCAATGCAGTGGTAGAAAAGAGACTGGCACCTCTCTTCAAGGAATTGAGATTTTTTAGGGGGAGATTATTGAAAATGTTACTTAGGCTGTTTTTCTTAAATTTCCAAATATTGTCTCTTAGGTTGATTTTTCTGGAATCTTTTTTTGGTCTGTTTCTACAGTGTATTAATAAGTCACACTATTTGCTTTTTATTCTGTATCCTGCCTGGTTTTCCATTTATGAGACTCTGTAGAAAGGATGCTTGATATTTCTGGAAGGAAGGACGAGACAGAACCCTGTAGATCTCTGGGTATAAAGGACACAGGAGGCACACTCTTGGAATACGTGAGCCAGCCCAATTCTATAGGAAGAAAGAAGAGCTCAGAAAAGCCCAAATATCATATCCAGGAATTAGCCAAGATGGGTTGGCTGCTCAGCTAGAACGTAATTGTCAGCACCAGTCTTCCCAACACTCCTGCCAGTGCTCCACTTAACAGGCATCAGTAACTGCATGATGTGTGTAGCTGTTGGACATCGAGTAGCCTTTTGTGTGCACAGTGCTTGGAGATGGCTGTGTCTCCAGTGGAGCAATGTGCAGTGCTGTGAGCTGTGAAGTTGTCTAAAGCAAGTGTGTCTCGGTGCTCTTGGCTGGGTGAACATTCCTAGAAATGCTAGGGGCCAGCCTGAGTGCACGGGACCCCAGTGATTCCTATACTTGTTTCTTTCATGCAGAGGTGTTCTGAGGCTCACTTGTGCTTTTAGAAGCACAAAGGGGCTTTGAGTGACCAATCAGATGTGCCTGCTGCAGGCCCACTTGTCTCTAAATGCTCTGACCTGTGGACTCTTCTCCATAGTTAAGAAGTTAGAGTAAAGTAGAATGTATGAGAGAGTGAATCTTCTTCTTTTCTCTTTTCTTTTCTCTTTTTGAGACAGGGTCTTCCTCCGTTGCCCAGGCTGGAGGGCAGGGGCCCAATCTCAGCTCACTGTTGCCTCAACCTCCCAAATTCAAGAGATCCTCCTGCCTCAGCCTCAGGAGTACTGGGACTACAGGCACTCACTGCCATGCCCAGCTAATTGTTTGTATTTTTTGTAGTGACGGGGTCTCGCCATGTTGCCCTCCCAGGATGGTCTCGACCTCCTGAGCTCAAGCGATTCAGCCCACCTTGGCATCCCATGGTGCTGGGGTTGCAGGTGTGGGACACCATGCCCAGCCCAGGAAGTGTGAATTTCTGATCTTGGGCTAGCTTACCACAGTACTAATTAAACTATTCAGTCCAGGGGATTAGTTCATTGTTCTTATTTCAGTTTCGGTTTTTCACTTATCTTAAAGGCCTCTCAAATGGATTAGAGGCCGCAGAGCTTGTGTTGCACCTCTATCCATCTCTCAACTCATCTGGTAGGCGTTTATGAAGCGCTGGTACTCTTCCCCTTGCACCCATCTTCTGTGCTAGGCAAGCACTGTGTCACCCGCGGGGCCACAGCTGTGAGTTAAGTACATTACAGAGTTCTTGGGATGTCTGCAGGGATTCTGGAATTTGATGTGACTCGGCCACTGTGTGGAGGGAACACCAGTGACCAATACTGTCTTGTCCACCAGCTGAGAGGCCAGGCTGTGGTGTGTGTGTGTGTGTGTTTGAGACGGAGTTTCGCTCTTGTTGCCCAAGCTGGAATGCAATGGTGCGATCTCGGCTCACCACAACCTCCGCCTCCCAGGTTCCACCAAGTGAGTCTCCTGCCTCAGCCTCCCAAGTAGCTGCGATTACAGACATGAGCCACCACACGCCCAGCTAATTTTGTGTTTAATTAGTAGAGACGGGGTTTCTGCATGTTGGCCAGGCTGGTCTCAAACTCCTGACCTCAGGTGATCTGCCCACCTCGGCCTCCCAAAGTGCTGGGATTACAGGCGTGAGCCACCGCGCCCAGGCTTTTTTTTTTTTTTTTTTTTCTTTTTGAGACAGTTTCACTATTGTTGCCTAGGTTGGAGTGCAATGGTGCGATTTTGGCCCACTGCAGCTTCTACCTCCCGGGTTCAAGGGATTCTCCTGCTTCTGCCTCCGAAGTAGCTGGGATTACAGGCGCCCACCACCACGCCCAGTTAATTTTTTTTTTTTTTGTATTTTTTAAGTAGAGACGGGGTTTCACCGTGTTAGCCAGGATGGTCTCGATCTCCTGACCTCGTGATCCGCCCGTCTCGGCCTCCCAAAGTGCTGGGATTACAGGCTTGAGCCACTGCGCCCGGCGCCCAGCTAATTTTTGTAGTTTTAGTAGAGGCGTAGTTTCACCTTGTTGGCCAGGCTGGTCTCCAACTCCTGACCATGAGTGATTCACCCACCTCCACCTCCCAAAGTGCTAGAATTCCAGTTGTGAGCCACTGCGCCTGGCCTGTGGTGTCATTCTTATGCTGAAGACTCATCTGTAAGCTGTTTTCCTCTCATTGAAAGTGGGGACCGTCAGAATTGTTACCAGTGAGGAAACACTCTGGCCCCCCTGTTCTTATGCACCCAGTAGTTGTGTGTATATCACCTGCTGCTTGCCAGCAGCCCCCGGGCTCAGGGCTCAGGACAGGCCTCAGTTTGGCACTATCCAGGGGCAAACTGGGTATGACTCATAGGAGACCATAAAGACTCAGTACCCACACTCTCATGGCTGGGGAACTGGGAGTGTCATAGCCCTTCCTGGTGTCCACACCTAACTAGTGGGTCATCTTGGCAGAGGGTGGAGGCATGCTGGAGCTGTAGAAAGCTGGGGTCATTTCGAGCCACAGAAGAATTTGCTTCTGCTCCCAGCTAAACGTTTCCACAAGGGCCAGCACTGTTACCAGAGCCTCCTTTCTAGATTTCATGCGGACAGTACATTGTGCTGGCCCTGGTAAGTTTGGTCCTGTTGATGAGGTTGACTGATTGTCCCCGGATTTCCCTTTTCACCTTCTGCAGTCTCCTCTAAGAGGAAAGGGGAGCACTTTTCAGTGCCTCCACATGTGTGGATTATATTCTCATCTGCAAATCGAAGACCTTTATGCTCCGGCCTACATTCTTCCTGCATGGCCATTTGTGTATGTCAGGATGCCATTTGGGAAACAAAATCCACTCTAATTATTCTTAAGCTTAGTGGATTTTAACATGGAATCAGCAGTCTCTGGGCTGCGTCGCAAGGAGTAACTCTTGACCTCGAAGTATTGACCCACCTAGGGAGCTGCTATGTCTGCTCCACGAAGAAAGTCTGGAGGTGGGATCCACCCCCTGCACTCATATCTTTGGGTTCGAGTAGACAGTACTGCAGACCCTTTCTAGGGAGGAGAGGCCTGGACTCAAGACATAGCAGCCTCTGCCAGAACTGTTTCTTCATGATGCAGCTGTGCCTGCCAGTGCCAACACCCACAGCAGCTCAAGTCGGCCTCCACCCCCTGCCCTGCCAGTAGCATGAGTGTGTCTGTTTGAGGGAACATGGTTCACGTCCAGGATCCTAGCTGTGCGGGATCCAGAGTAGAGGATTAGAGCTTCTTGTCACTGTGGGGCAGATATCCTGCCCAGGGAACAGGCAGGGTGAGGTGAGCAGTAGGGCTTTGGCGGTGAGAACTTTTCCTGAAGCAGTCCCTCCTGCATGCTGAGCAAGAGGGAAAGGGCGTTCCACTGACCTCCCTAGATGGGGAAGAGCACTTGGCCAGAAGGCGGGAGGAACCGAATTTGAAACTGTTGGAGCAGAAATCGTCTAGCTGTAAGTTCTGAGCTGGCAGGTGAGGGGCTTGTCAGGTTCTTAGACCCCCAGGACACAGAATTGGATTGAGCTCTGTCCTTGGTGAGTGTCACACGCATTGGTCATGCATAGCCTGCTTTGCTTTGTTAGTTATTTGTAACAACCTACTGAGCAATGCAAATCCTCCTCCACATGAAGGCTCCACCTTGGCAGAGGCCTACATTGGCCGTGTCAGCTTGCGAAAGCATGGTGCCCCTAGTGCTGTCTGAATGTTCACTGCCTCATGTAATCCTCACAACACCACAGTCAGAGGTGGGCTCTGGTGTTTTTCAGAAGAGGAAGCTGCAGCCCCCAGATAGTAAGTAAGGTCCCCAGGTCTTGCAGCCAGCACATGGTGTGGCTATGGCTGTGGCTGTGGCTGTGTTCACGCTCCCAGAGACTCCACTAAACACCCAACAGGGAGAGACACAGCCCATCAGCTGGGAGATGGAGTGACCTGGGAAATGGGCTTGATTGACTGGGGGAGGTGCACAGATACTCTGCGGGTGGGAGGAGGGTGGGGCCCCTGCTGCTCACCGGAGGGTTCCACAGAGGGTGTCACAGGTCAGAAAAAAGAAATGCCTTCATTTATCACTTATATCAAACTGATTGCTTGTTTCTCTTTTGTTTTTCTCCTTCTTTTTACAAGATTGTTGATGGTAAGTGGTTTCATTTCCTTTTTCACTGGGTTTGGAGCAAAAACTGCCTTAGGTGAGAGCTGCGGTGCGACAGGCCTTGGCAGACCTTCCCCAAGGGCTTGGAGCTCTCCAAGCAGGAAGATCCCTTCCCACATACTGTGGTCAGACCCGCACAGGCAGTCCACTTGTGCCTGCTGAAGAAACTTCACCCCTATCACTGACACTGAGCTGTCGTCCTTTCTTGTGGCCTACCAGATTTTGGGGAAGGCTGGTAGCTCACAGCAGGGGTTGGGGCATTTCTCCTGAGAAGATAAGATAGTGGCCTCCAGAGCTGGGCAGAACCTTCTGGGTTATAGCTGAGCATGGCAGCAGTTTCTTTCTGGGGGTCCCAGGCAGGGAAGGAAGAGGGTCTTAAGAGGCATCAGGATGGGGGTGGTGAGGATGGTAAGAGTAGGGAGCCTCCAACCTGAAAATGTGACCTACCTTAGAAAGAAGACGACCAAGGAGGAATGCTAGGAGGCTGCCCCAGGACCATGCTGACAGCTGTGTGGTGAGCAGTGACGACGAGGAGTTGTCCAGGGACAGAGACGTGTATGTGACTACCCACACTCCCAGAAACACCAGGGATGAGGGCGCTACAGGCCTCAGGTACCAACATGCCCCCAGCTCTGCTGCTGCCGTGCTAGGGGGTGGGGCCAGGGCATAGGAATGCTTTTCAGCAAACCTGAGCGCTTGGCCCTGGCAGGGCTTGACCAAGCCTCTCCCCAGCATCTGGATACAGTTGGAACCTGGCCCAGAACTGAGCCCAGCTGTTTCCACTGTAACCAGAGTATGCTGAGCGCTGACAGAGTGGGCGCAGGCAGTCCCGGTGGCTCCAGACAGGGATCCTGGGGCCAGTAGGGACCTGGGGGAGGGCAGGGTGACTCAGGTTGTCTGCACCTTCTGATGTTCACCCTGCCACATGCCCTTGGGGCAGTTGGCTTTTCTGAAAGTCTCTTGGATGCCTGTGCTAAGGCAGAGTCAGAGGAGGCCGGGGTGGTTCTCTTGTAGGGGATGCAGGCCGCTTACATGAAGGCCACTTATGGGGTATAATAAAATATTTGCATTGACTGAAAAACTAATGTGAAGCACTGTGCTCTTAGGCCCTCGGGTACCGTCAGTTGTCCTATCTGCATGGATGGATACTCTGAGGTAAGTAAACCAGGCTGTATCTTCCTTGCTTCTGGTTTCTAAACTTCATTGAAAGAACTGGATGAGACAGGATCTTCTCCCTTGGTGGGGCTGGACAGCCCTACTCGCAGTCGTGCCTGGGCATCACTTGCTGCAGATCTGCTTGTGAGTGGAGAATGTGCCAGTTTCTCCTTGGACCCTACAACTTTCACCTTCAGCGCCTGTACCCCTGTATGCCTTGAGCTTCCGGGTGTAAATGCGTCCTCCTTTTGTGTCCCCCATCCTGACTCTTCTGGAAGCGGCTAGTGTTTACTGGCGTCCCTTATAACCTTGGGCTGTCACACTGTTGAGATGCCATGGCCCCTGCCTCCTCCTCTCCAGCTTAGAGCGATCACAGCAGGCACAGTTAGCTCTCCAGACCCCTCCCTGTTGCAGCCTGGCTCTTGTTTTCCTTCAATTGGTCATCTTAGGCATAGATGGGTGGGATTCTCTGGGGACCATGGCTGCTCTGGGATAAGGACAAACTCAGAGGCTCTTCTTTTTAATCCCTTCTAGATTGTGCAGAATGGACGTCTCATCGTTTCCACAGAGTGTGGCCATGTCTTCTGTAGCCAGTGCCTCCGCGATTCCCTGAAGAATGCTAATACTTGCCCAACTTGTAGGAAAAAGATCAACCACAAACGGTACCACCCCATTTATATATGAAGTATTCAGAGTCGCCCAGGAGACACGGATGGACAGACAGACAGACAGGTTCTCCAGTGGTATCTGCCTCCATTTTCCTGAGCTCAAAAAGACTGTTTCAGAACCAACGTCTGATATGTAAACTGCTCTTTTGTTTCCAACCCCTTCTTTTTGTTATCTCCAGTTTGATGCTATGGCGCTGGACCCAGGGCCCTCCCAGGCCATCTCTGTTCGTCTGGGGTGGTCCAGTTCTAGAGTGGGAGAAAGGGAGTCAGGCACATTGGGAATCGTGGTTCTAGTCTGGTTGCAGAACCTGCACATTTGCCAAGAAATTTTCCTTGTTTGGAAAGTTTGCCCCAGCTTTCCCAGGCACGCCACCTTTTGTTCCAAGTGTCTGCCGGTCGACCAATCTGCCTGCCACACATTGACCAAGCCAGACCCAGTTCACCCAGCTCGAAGATCCCAGGTGCAAGAGTGGCCCCTTGAGGCCCTGGAAAGACCAATCACTGGACTTCTTCCCTTGAGAGTCAGAGGTCACCCGTGATTCTGCCTGCACCTTACCATTGATCTGCAGTGATTTCTGCAAATCAGGAGAAACTGCAGGGCAATCCCCTGTTTCCTAAGAACAAAAAAGTGCAATAAAGGCCATTCGTTACCTACTTTTCGGCACCCCACAAGATGTAGCACTATTAGCGTCCCCCTCAGAGGCCTAATGTTGCCTGGGGAGCAGTGCCCATCCCAGCCCGTTTCTGCCCGCCAGTTGTTCTCAGGAACCTTACCCATGCTCCAGCGTCCTTCACCTGGCACAGGACATGCAAGATAAATAGGGCAGGCACGTGTTTGGGTGTCCTCTTTTCTGATAAAATCCATCCTGTATTTGCCACACGCCCTCCAGTCCTCAGTTCCTCGGTTTCCACTGCCTAACGTCTGCCCCCGCGTAGATACTGAGAGGTGGTGGCAGTAATTGTGGCCTTATCAGCCGCTCAGTTCCAGGCTTTTGCCCAAGTCACTGTTGCCCCATGTTTCGGAGAACCTGGCCCACCTGACTTGGCTTTCTCATCCTTCCCAACCCAGTGCCATTTGTTTCAGAAGCTACTCCTCTGGCCAGCTGGGCTTGGATCCTTTGGGCTTTGACTGCTGCATAGGTTTTGATGGGTGAAACACGGGCCCAGATGACAACCTCTCCCTCACTCCACAGGTATGTGGGAGCCTCAGGTTCTCTGAAGGGCAGCAGAGTGGCCCACGCTGCCTCTGACAGCACAGGGCCTGGGGGTGGCTAACAAGAGAGGCCTTACAGTGCCAGCCTGCCTCCTCTTCCGCTGTCCTCCTTCCTCAGAGGGCTTCAAGCCAAACAAACGGCCTTTTCGTGTGAAACATCTTCAGAGTGGGAAAGGGGCCACTTCTGGCTTTGTTAGCAATAACTGACCTTCAGTTTACCCTTCTGAAGGAGCAGGGACTCAGCACAGAATTCACTTTAGACGGGGCTGAAGGAGTGTCCCTCCTCTATGTGAAAAGAAAATTGTTTTATTCTTCATTCTGACTTTTTAACTGTTTGGCTCACTTCCAGTTAGTTTGAATGAAAATAATAATTTTCTACTTGGAGTTGAAGAGGGCAGAATCCTCAGCTCTCATCATTGTGATGTGTAGCGTGTCTGCCCTCTGACTGAACATCATTGCCATTAACTTTCTTTTGGGCATCATGCGAGTGTCATGATGCCCAGACTTGGAGCAAGGCAACCTTGGAGTCAGTCCACTAATAAAATATGGTACCACCCATTTTAAAATTTCTTTAAGTTTTATCCTTAAAGACAACTTCAGTGGTTAATTATAAAAGTTGTGTTACTTCGTCCTAAATTAAATTGATAAAAAGATTTAAAAATGTGTTTTGTTTCTACTATTCAGAAACTGCGAACTAGGGAAAGGTTGGTATGAAAAAAATGTCTTTCCTTTTTTCAATGTACATAGTTCAACTCTTTCTTTGTTACATTTAAACTGTATCCATGGATATCAGTCTGCTTTGGACTCCTCTGCTAGTGTTAAAGATGGAAATAAAACCATTAATTTGAACCAAGTATCTTTCACACACTCATTTGCTCTTTGGAACTAGAATCGGTTTCCCCCCTTTGTCTGCCTCACGTTGAGTGTATTTTGCGTTGGTGTGTGTTCGGGAAGTTCGCATGTCCGAAATCCAGCACGCTTGTGGGAGGCTGTTCTCGGAGCAGAGCCGGGAGCCCGAGCCCTGGAGTCCCTGAGAGAGCAGAGTCTACCCTGAGAGGCAGGGTCGACCAAGGAGCTGTCTGCTCAGCTCAGCCAGTCTCAGAGGTGTTGGGGTGCTGCTCTGAGAGCGATGGACTGAGATTGCCCTGGATGCCTTGCATTGCAGTGCCCCCCTTTGCCACCTAGATACAAAATTTGCCCTCTGAGTGGGAGTCAGCACTGGGAGTGCATGGATGTGCCAGCCACTGCCACAGGCGAGCAGTGCCAGCAAAGCCACAAGGAGGAAATGGGCTTGGCAGTGTGGCCAAGCTCTCCCTTTGCCTCTGGCCTCCTCTGTACCTGTCCAGCTGTCCGCAGGGACTAGAAAGGCTCACATGCTGGCTGCCTGGGTCCCAAAGGCCTGCCATCCGGTGCCGTTTCTTACCATGCTCCTGGCACTGCACTTTTGGCTCTGTGGGCAGTGAGGCAGACATCATGGAACATGTTTACAGAGGAGACAGTCCCCCAGGCCAGCGGAAAATTGAAACTGACGAGGGTGAGGTACAGGAAACCAGGAGATTCAGCAGGAGGAAGTTGAACCTCTCCAGAAAGCTCTCCCTGAGTAAGGGCTGCTAAGTTGCCATCTTCAAGGTCCAGAAAGCTCTCTAGGGAAAAAGGAGAAGAAGGAATTCCAGAGACTCCAGGCCAGGCCTGTGAAAGTTAGGAGAAAGACCTGCTTGCTGGCATACAGTAGGGTCTGCAGGCCCCCCTGATACCTCAAGGCACTGGACCAGACACTTCTGGTGGCTACCCGGGGGAGGCAGGGAGCAGTGTATCCCTAAGACTGGTACTGCTGGAGTGGGTCTGGTCCTGGAAAGGAGGGAGCCCCCAAGGCTGGCTGTGGAAACTCAAAAAATGTCTGTATTAACTGGGTTTTTTCTTTTGTTTTGTTTGGCAGCATAGAAACAATTGAGTTTTGTATATTGTGTATCCAGAATCCTTGCCAACTGTTTCTTTTTTTTTTTTTTTTTTTTTTTCCTTTTTTTTCCCTCTAAGACAGAGTCTGGCTCTGTCGCCAGGCTGGAGTGCGGTGACTCGATCTCGGCTCACTGCAGCCTCCGCCTCCCGGGTTCAAGCGATTCTCCTGCCTTCAGCCTCCCAAGTAGCTGGGATTACAGGGACACGCCACCTTGCCCAGCTAATTTTTGTAGTTTTAGTAGTTACGGGGTTTCACCATGTTGGCCAGGCTGGTCTCGAACTCCTGATCTCAAGTATCTGCCCGCCTCGGCCTCCCAAAGTGTTGGGATTACAGGCATGAGCCACCACACCCAGCCCCAACTCTGTTTTTTTTATTTTTTATTTTTTCTATTTTTGTATAGACGGAGGTCTCACCATGTTGCCCAGCCTGGTCGTTAACTCCTAGCCTCAGGTGATCCTCCTACCTCAGCCTCCGAAAGGCACTGGAATTAAAGGTTTGAGCCATGACGCCAAGGCTAGCCCAGTTCATTATTATTAACACACAAATGGTGTGGGTGGACACCTTTGTGTTTCAGTGTTTCATCAAGATAGATGTTTACTGTAGGTTCTTGTTAGATAACTATCAGGCCGAAAGTCTGTCTTTAAAAAAAAAAATGGCCGGGCGCGGTGGCTCAAGTCTGTAATCCCAGCACTTTGGGAGGCCGAGACGGGCGAATCACGAGGTCAGGAGATCGAGACCATCCTGGCTAACACAGTGAAACCCCGTCTCTACTAAAAAATACAAAAAACTAGCCAGGCGAGGTGGCGGGCGCCTGTAGTCCCAGCTACTCAGGAGGCCGAGGCAGGAGAATGGCGTAAACCCGGGAGGCGGAGCTTGCAGTGAGCTGAGATCCGGCCAGTGCACTCCAGCCTGGGCCACAGAGCGAGACTCCGTCTCAAAAAAAAAAAAAAGACAGAGTTTCACTCTTATCACCCAGCTGGAGTGCAGTGGTGCAATCTCTGCTCACTGCAATCTCCACTTCCTGGTTTCAAGGTATTCTCCAGCCTTAGCCTCTCGAGTAGCTGGGATTACAAGCATGCCACCACCACGCCTGGCTAATTTTTGTACTTTTAGTAGAGATGGGGTTTTACCATCTTGGCCAGGCTGCCCTCAAACTCCTGACCTCAGGTGATCCGCCTGCCTCAGCCTCCTCAAAGTGCTGCGGTTACAGACTTGAGCCACCGCACCTAGCGGCATTTGTCTTCAATTTCTGTTTTTTGTTTTTTGGGTTTTGTTTTTTTGTTTTGTTTTGTTTTGTTTTTTTTGAGACGGAGTCTTTCTCTGTCGTGGCCCAGGCTGGAACGCAGTGGCCGGATCTCAGCTCACTGCAAGCTCCGCCTCCCGGGTTTACGCCATTCTCCTGCCTCAGCCTCCTGGGTAGCTGGGACAACAGGCGCCCGCCACCTCGCCCGGCTAGTTTTTTGTATTTTTTTTAGTAGAGACGGGGTTTCACCGTGTTAGCCAGGATGGTCTCGATCTCTTGACCTCGTGATCCGCCCGTCTCGGCCTCCCAAAGTGCTGGGATTACAGGCTTGAGCCACCGCGCCCGGCCTTTTTTTTTTTTTTTTTTTTTTTTTTTTTTTTTTAAACGAGACAAGAGTCTTGCTCTGTTGCCAAGGCTGGCGTGCAGTGGCACAATCTCGGCAGGTTCAAGCAATTCTCCTGCCTCAGACTCCTGAGTAGCTGGGATTACAGGAGCCGCCAACACACCCGGCTAGTTTTTGTATTTTTCGTAGAGATGGGGTTTCTCTATTTCTGTTTTTGGTCACAAGTGAATGTTCAATCTTATCAGTCCTTTTTCTGCTTCTATTGAGACAAGATTAATTAGCCTCTCTAATAGTTAATGTATTGTGTAACACAGGTATATGTAGTTTAACTACAGGGATATATTCTTTTTTTTTTTTTTTTTCCTCCCCCTAAGACAGAGTCTCACTCCGTTGCCCAGGCTGGAGTGCAGTGGCACAATCTCAGCTCACTGCAAACTTCATCTCCCATGTTCAAGCAATTCTCCTGCCTCAGCCTCCAGAGTATAGCTGGGATTACAGGTGTGCACCTGTTAATTTTTTCTATTTTTAGTAGAGTCAGAGTTTTACCATGTTGGCCATGCTGGTCTCGAACTCCTGACCTCAAGTGATCCATCCACCTCAGCCTCCCAAAATGCTGGGATTACAAGCGTGAGCCACTGCGCCCCACCTTACAGGGATATGTTGTGAGAAATATGTTGTTAGGCAATTTTGCTGTTGTATGAACATTGTAGAGTGTAATGTGTAATTAGATAAACCTAGATGGCAGATCCTACTACACATCTAGGCCATGTGATACAGCCTATTGCTCCAGGCTACAAACCTGTACATGTTACTATACTGAATACTGAAGGCAGCTGTAACACGATGGTAAGTGTTTGTGTATCTAAACATAGAAAAGGCAGGGTGCCATGGCTCACTCCTGTAATCCCAGCACTTTGGGAGGCCAAGGCGGGTGGATCACCTGAGGTCAGGAGTTTGAGACCAGCCTGGCCAACGTGGTGAAACCCCATCTCTACTGAAAATACAAAAACTAGCTGGTGTGGTGGTGCACACCTGTAATCCCAGCTACCTGGGAGGCTGAGGCAGGAGGATAGCTTGAACCCGGGAGGTGGGGGTTGCAGTGAGCCACGATGGTACCGCTGCACTCCAGCCTGGGTGACAAGAACAAAACTCTATCTCAGAAAATAACAACAATAATAGAAGGACTACAATCTTAAAATACAATGAATAAGCCAGTAACATAGTCATTTATTATTATTATGTACTGCACATAAATTATATGTGCTATACCTTTATACAACTGGTAGCATCACATGTAACAATGTACTACAGTATGACAGCTAAGCTGTCACTAGGCAATAGGCATTTTTCAGCTCCATTATACTCAATGGGACCACCCACCATTGTGTATGTGGTCTGCTGACTGAAAGGTCTACAGCAGCACATGACTGTATTTGATTTTCTAGCATACACTATACTTGCATTTCTCTGATAACTTCACCCTATTTATGATACTTTGTCCTTCTATATGTTTTGTTTTTGTTTTTGGTTTTTTTTGTTTGTTTTGTTTTTTGGTTTTTTTTTTTTTGAGATGGAGTTTCACTCTTGTGGCCCAGGCAGGAGTGCAATGGCACGATCTCGGCTCACTGCAACCTCCGCCTCCTGGGTTCAAACAATTCTCCTGCCTCAGCCTCCCGAGTAGCTGGGATACAAGCACCCACCACCACACCCGGCTAATTTTTGTGTTTCAGTAGAAACAGGGTTTCACCATGTTGGCCAGGCTGCTCTTGAACTCCTGACCTCAGGTGATCTGCTGTCCTTGGCCTCCTAAAGTGCTGGGATTACAGACGTGAGCCACCATGCCCGGTCACTACTGTACATTTCAAGACCCCCAGTGGATACCTGAAACCTGAGTACCAAATTGTATATATACTGGTTTTTTCTTATTTATATATACATACATATAAAGTTTTAATTTACAAATTAGGCACAGTAAGAGGTTAGCAACTAATAAAATACTGTATATGCAGTACTTTTTTTTTTTCTTTTTTTTTTTTTTTTTTGAGACGGAGTCTTTCTCAGTCACCCAGGTTGGAGTGCAGTGGCGCGATCTCTGCGCACTGCAAACTCGGCCTCCCAGGTTCAAGCAATTCTGCCTCAGCCTCCTGAGTAGCTGGGATTACAGGCATGCACCACCGTGCCCGGCTAATTTTTGTATTCATAGTAGAGATAGGGTTTCACCATGTTGGTCAGGCTGGTCTCGAACCCCTGACCTTGTGATCCACCTGCCTCAGCCTCCCCAAGTGCTAGGATTACAGGTGTGCGTCACTGT